GGACAGGTCACACTCCCCTTGGCCACTGGGTGCGGGGTGGAAGAGATGGGATCCAGGGTCCCATGCTGAAGGAGCCAGGCATGGTCAGCTTGCAGTAAAAAGTGCTTAAGGGGGGACATGCTCGCCGTCTTCCAATCCCTGAAGGGCTGCCTTGAAGAAGAGTGAAAGCATCTTTTCTCTCTAGCTGCAGAGAGCAGGATGTGGCCCAGTGGATTGAAGTGGCAGCAAAGGAGGTTTAGACGGACTTGCAAGAAACACTTCCTCACTGCTAAAACAGCCAGCCTGTGGGACAGGCTTCCTCGGGAAGTTGCAGACTCTGGCTGGAGGGATACCACAGGTTTCAGAGATCTGGCCAGGGAAGTGGTTCTCTGCGGGCACCTGACCAGACATCAAGGGGCCCCAACAACCCGCTTCAACCAGTTCATATCCTGCTTCAGGTATACACTGTAGAAAGCCAGGAACCTGCTCATAAACAGACACTCAGACCCCACAGTCGAGAACTGTATTAAAATGGGACTAAGTGAATTGTACTGGTACTACAGGAAGACAAAAGAGGATGACAGGAAAGAAATGGCAGACCTCATATGGTAGAGGGGGGTCTGGCATAGACTTTTTCAAGGGCCGGCCCTCTGAGGAGGGCAGTGGGTAGGGGTACGGGGATGGAGATGGAGATGGGCGTGCAGATACGCAGTGCAAACTGTGTAACAGGTTTTTAATGGTTTAACTGTCAAAAATGTGCTTTGATCTGCCAAGTGAACCACAAGGGACACTTGGCAGCATAAACGACATGTGCCCCCGGCAGCTGGGGGAGCACGGCTGCGCTGGCAGCGGCGGGAGCGTGGTGGCGGTAAGCGCGGAGTTCCCACAGATGCCGCTGGCGCCGTCGGGGGGGGAAGGGTAGCAAGCGCCGACCAGGGGTTGAAGACCACCCACAGGTGCCGCTGGCAGCATCAGCAGCGGCCAGTAGGGATTGCTAACCGCCCACAGACACTGGGGGCAGGGTGGCGAGTGGTGACCGCCCATCAGCAGCATCTTTCTGCAGGGGGTGTACCACCACGCTCAGGGGGTGCATGTGCATCCACATGCACCCCCTACGCATTGCCCCTGCCTGGCAGAGTGTTGCAGGTAAAGAGAGAGAGAGAGAGAGAGAGAGAGAGAAATAGTAGGGCTGCGCAAAGCTTTGCTTCCTGATTCTATTCGGCAGAGATTCGGCCCGATTCAGTGGCTGAATCTCCGAATCCAAATCGAATCAGGACCCTTTAATCTCTCCGAATCGAATCAGAACCCTCCAAATCGATTTGGAAAGATTCAGACATAGACACAGCTTTAAATGTTTTTTCTATATACCTCTAGGTAGCAGGCGGCTCGTGAATGCTGCAATGCTGGGGCAGATGAAGCATCCCACAGAAGCACAGGGGGATCCCCAGAGCATTTGGCAGCAGACCCAGAAATGGACCAGAAGCACTCCTGGTCCACTTCCCGGTCTGCCAGTGGAGCACACTGGGGGTTCCCCCCATGCCCCACTGGCTCAGTGATTGGTGACTCCTGGATCGGGGTGGGGGAGAGCACCTGGGGTCCCCCTGTGGCCGATCACTGAGCCAGAGAGGCATGGGGGGGCCCCCCAGTACACTGTCCGGCAGACCCAGAAGTGGACCGGAAGTACTTCACCACTGAGCACATAGAGGGCCCCCCCGCACTCCTGTGGGACGCTCCATGTGCCCCAGCATTGCAGCAATCACGAGCCATGCCTGCTACCTCAAAGTATGTAGAAAATTAAAGCTGTGTCTATGTCTGAATCACGGATTTTCCGAATCAGCATCAAATTTTCAGTTTCGGATTCAGCCAAATCTAATCAGGGACAGTGGTCTGAATCAACAAATCGAATCACTGTCCCTGATTTGGGCTGAATCTGAATCAAATTGGGCCTGCTTCACACACCCCTAATAGATAAATAGATAGATATAGATAATATATAAAAAATATATATTTTTGCAAAAAACTAAAAAAACAGATGAGAAGCGGTCACTTAACCAAACAGCAAGGGGGCCCTTGTGGGGGAATTCCCAGTGGGGTTAGGGGAATTTCCATAGCTCAGTCTTGCAGGTAAACGGCTATGCATTTTCTCCTAAGCAATGATGCCTGCTTTCTGAGGCTTGTATCCATAGGGGATGGCGTCTTCCAAATAAGGGCATGATTCAAAACCTAAGATTGTGAGTGGCTCAGTCAACAATATAAAGTCTCAGCATGCCCAAACAGCAGAGGAGATGTTCAAGATCGACACTGGGACCATCACCTTCGACTTGATCAGTCAGAGACTGAGGTCATGACGAGGATTGCACCGGACCATGCCTCACCGGCCAGTCAGCTCACAAACCTGGGGACACCTGACTTGTGAAAGGCTAACAAAGCTTAATTGGACAGAAAGTGCACACGCTGGGCAACCGGCTCAGACCGATAAGTGCCATTGATATATGTTTGTGGTGTTATTGTATGTTATAGTCACGTTTTGTGTTTTATTGTTATTTGTAACCATCTCTCTGTTGTTAAACATGGTTGTTTAAATAAACCTTCTCCACGATCTAACCCAGAAATCTCTAGAAACTTCTCTCAGATCCGGCCAACTATTATCGGGCGCAACACCCCTCAGCCTGCTTTGACCGGTTCATCACCTGCCCTGTACGCCCTGTGGAAAGCCAGGAACCTGTTCACAAATCGGCACTCAGACCCCACAGTCGAGGAATGTACTCAGACTCCATTCCTGTACTAAAATGGGGTTGCGTGAAATGTACTGGTACTACAAGAAGGCAGAAGAAGACGACAGGAAAGAGATGGCAGACCTCATATGGTGGAGAGTGGACTGGCATAGACTTTTCAGAGGCAAGCCCTCCACAGAGAGCAACGAGGACAACAGTAAGAACAGTGACTACGATGAGGACGAAAATGATGATGACGAGTAAAAGCACAAGAATGGTGTGCAGTGTGAACATTGTAATGGGACTAAAATACTTTAACTTGTTGGGTTGGTAGAGGTACAGTTATATATATATATATATATATATATATATATATATATAAATGTTTTTTCAAAAAAAAAAATTGATGGTGGTTTCAGCCTAGTCAATAGGGCTGTGCAAAACAGCACCGTTTTGTTTTGACTTCCGTTTCGCTGTTTTGACAGGACAGTGTTTCGTTTCAAGTTTCATTTAGTTTTGAAAACACTGTTCCGTTTTGTTTCGTCAAAACTGTTTCAACACTGTTTCAACCTTTCGCCCATAGGCTATAATGGGGAAGCACAAAACTGCCTATAACTTTGCATTTTTTGGCAGATTTGAATGAAAACAGCAGGCATGGTAGCCCCTTCTGAAGGCATGAAGCCTACCAAGTTTCAAGGAGATAAGTGCAGGGGTTTCTGGGAAACTGCACCTCAAGCTGCTGACAAACAAAACTTGTGACGTGTGACTTTGTGTGTGTGTGTTAAGGTTTCATAGACATTAGGGCTGGAAGGGACCTCGGAAGATCATCGAGTCCAGCCCCCTGCCTAAAGGGCAGGAAGTCAGCTGGGGTCATAGGATCCCAGCAAGATAAGCATCCAATATTCTCTTGAAGGTGTTCAATGTAGGTGCTTGAACCACCTCCGATGGCAGGCTATTCCAGACCTTGGGGGCTCGGACAGTAAAGAAATTCGTCCTTATGTCTAGCATGAAACGGTCTTGCAGTAGTTTATAACCGTTCGGCCTTGTCATCCCTTGGGGCGCTCTGGTGAACAAACGTTCCCCCAGATACTGGTGGTCACCCCTGATAAACTTATACGTGGCCATCAGATCACCCCTAAGCCTGCGCTTTTCCTGGCTAAAGAGCTCCATAGCTCTCAGCCTCGTCATAAGGTCTGTTTTCCTGACCTGTAATCATGTACGTGGCTCTTCTCTGGACTCTCTCAAGCTTCTCCACATCCTTTTTGAATTGTGGGGCCCAAAACTGGATGCAGTACTCCAGCTGCAGCCTCACCAAGGCCGAGTACAAGGGGAGAATGACATCCCGGGATTTGCTTGAGAAGATCTATGGATGCAAGCCAGCGTTTTGGTCGCTTTACTAGCCTCAGCATCACATTGAAGGCTCATGTTCATCTCGTGGTCAATGATGACCCCCAAGTCTCTTTCTTCCATAGTGCTAGCCAGTGTAGCACTGCCAAGCCCATAAGGGTGCTGCAGGTTTTTCCTCCCAAGGTGGAGAACATTGCATTTTTCAGTGTTAA